CCCCCCAGCCGATTGAGCAAACACCCGCATGCACTAAGCTTGATCATGATTCGATGTCGACGAGGAGATGTGGCTGACCAGGATCCATACCCTAGCAAGTCGTTCATATCTCGACAGGTCCGAGCGGGGAAACAGCATAGCCAACAGCTGTTTATCTTGTTTGTTCCTCTCTAAGTTCCCACTTCTCTTCATTCCCCTCGGTCGCACGTTGCATCCCTTCGAGAATCAACTCGTAGAATCTTTCATAAAAATTTTGACAACGTAAATTCAAACAATGGCTGAGCAGCGGACTGTTTCAAAGTCTCCTTCGAGATCACCTCTAAAGTCGCCAGCGGCTCAATCTCCGGCGGTTACATCAGCTTCCGCCGGCCAGTCGCCTGAGGCTACGGCCTCCGAGGGGGCATTGGCCACCACCGTACAGTCGCCAGATGCAGTCGTTGAAGCACAAGACGAAACCGATGATGATGGTGATGGTTATGAATCAGCATCTGATCGAGGGTCCAACGCCTCAACCACGCTGGCATCCACCATCCGTGACTTCAACTTCGAGAACAGAAGACGATATCATAAGTTCAAGGAAGGCCGGTATGCATTTCCGAACGATGACGCTGAACAAGAACGGGAGGATATGAAGCACTCCATGGTGGTCACCCTTTGCGGAGGGGCATTGCACAGTGCGCCTCTTAAGAACCCTCAAAGGATCCTCGACATTGGCACCGGCACTGGCATCTGGGCAATCGATAGTACGTTCACCTTTGAATATTATCATCTGGAGAGGCTTACTAAATAGCCTGATAACTGCAGTTGGTGACGAATATCCGGAAGCTGAAGTAACTGGCATCGACCTCAGCCCCATTCAACCTCCCTATGTCCCATCCAATGTCTCCTTTATAATCGACGATGCCGAGGCAGAATGGTTATACCCAGACAACTCAATTGACTTTGTTCACGTGCGGAACATGGGAGCTGCTATCAAAGACTGGGAGAAATTACTTTCACAGGCTTTCCGGTAGGTCAGATAATTCCGACACCATATTTCTCTAACTTTGTCCAGGGTTTTGAAGCCAGGAGGCTGGATCGAACTCCAGGAAATGAAATGGAATTTCAATTGCGACGATGAAACGATGCCTGCGGACTATGCTCTCACCAAGATGATGAAACTTGTTTGGGAAGGTCTCGGGAAATTTGGGATCGAGGCAGACGTCGCCGACGTCAACCCCAAACGCCTCGATGACGCAGGCTTCATCAACCAAGTGCAAGATGTCCAAAAGGTCCCCGTTGGCGAGTGGCCAAAGGAAGAGGACCTGAAAATGATTGGAGCGTACTGCAAAGCTGTTCTCTACGACGGTATCCATGGTGTCACTATGGGACCACTTACACGAGGTCTGGGCTGGACTGCTGCAGAGGTCGAGATCTTTTTGATCGATGTGCGAAAGGATCTAACGAACACGGCCATTCACTCATATGTCTTTTATCACTCTGTTGCAGGTCAAAAACCGAAGCAAAATGCCGATTGAGGACTGAGATGAGGATCAAGAAAAAGGATTCACTAGGGTACATAACTTTAGATCTGTGTATATTACATTATGAGCAGGTCACACTCAGAAGCGGCTTTCCTAATGCTACAAGTAACTGATATGAAGACTGAAATGCCAAGTAAGACCGAAGACTACCCTTGAATGGAGATCTGGAGTCTCCCTCAAGATGAGAAATCCACAGGTATACGGCAATACACGACGGTATTTGCTATGCATGGCCTTGGGCGAGACAGACTCAGTCTTACATGCTAATCTTGCCAATACTAGTTTGCTGGCTGTCTAGATTCTGGAGCTTACAGTGATTGCAATCACTAGAGTCAGCGCTGGTGAGAGAAGCAGCTAGAAAGAAAATCAACGAGTTCAGAACAGGAGGAGGGTTCTATTTCACTTTTGTAAAAGAGGCATTTGGTGTAGACTAAGAGTGGATTGGCGGCGGGACGCTCACGACGAAGTTAGCGCGACCATTGAAAGAGCTTTTAAGCGTCTCGAAGCTCTTGGAAATGGATACTTAGACAGTGGCCAGGGTTCTATTCTTGGTGACCACAGCTCTAAATGCCAGATGATGCTCGATGGCTCCAACTTGCCAGCGCACTTGATTGAGTTGCATCCTATGAGCATGAAGGGTACCGTCCCTCGCCGTATTTCAATAACTATCTTCAACTACACCTCCCTTTGGCAACGGGTAATAAAGGGTTATCTGGCCCAGCCCGAATATGACAGCTGTGATCAGTGCAAATGAGGTAAAAATCACAGCCACCTGATAGAAATCAGTGCTACGCCAAGAAACAGGGCGGTGTTTCCTACCTTGCCGTTGTCATCAAATCCCTTCCCCCTGCCAATATCTTCGGCTACAGCACTCCAGACTAGGAAAATCATTCCTGAAATCATGCAAAGGACCGCGCCTGCGAGGAACAGAACCGATAACTGCCAGGCGTAGACCTGCATTTTGCGAGGACGATACTTCCATTCGGTACCGATCAAGACGCGATCCTGGGAACGCAAAGACTGTCTGATGAGGACCAGGCCATCTCTATGTCCGGCCATTCTGTGGAGTCGGATGGTCTGGTCCGCAGCCGTCAGCACGCTAGCGAGCGCGAAGGCGATGCCACAGAACCAGCAGGTTCGCACCGGCCAAGGAGTTGTTGTCTCGGGTGGCAGAAGATTGGGCCATGAACCTGTAGACGTGAGAACATTTGCGAGTAGAGCAGCCTTATGTATGTGTCAGCTTAGCTACATGTATGATGTCTTGGTTGCGGAGCAAGTAGGTCTTTGAAGTCAGACAACGCTCAACTCACCACGACGCCCACAAAATTCAGCTCTTGTAGCTTGTTATCCTTCCATTTCTCGGTGAGCTTGTTTCTTTCGCTCTTATCCTCGTGATTCAGCAGCAGAAGCAACGGGTCGTAGGTCAATGTCGGCGGGGAAAACAGACCGCCGCGGAAGATATTGACCATCAAAGATACAACACCGCTACTTTTATCCTTAACGCTGCGTGAAGTTGATCGCTATGTATCATTATTAGCTCAATGACCCTCTGAACGATTTCACTATGCTTGATGGTGGCGGGCGATTCTCATAGAACGCACTATTCTAGCTGCTGCCGCTGACTGGCCATTATTGCCTAGCAGGGGGGATCTCATCTGAGGGAATTCATCTGAAAAAGACATCATCGAATCAAGATTAGAGTCTAATGCAACACTATGATATCGCAGTATATCGACTTCTTCACTTGAATTCAGCGCTGGCGCTTAGATGTAGTCAACTCTGTCGATTCAACCCCGCAATCGACTCCGAAGTCATGCGTGGCGCCTCCAAGCAGACCGTACGTCATTGTGAACAATTCGCTAATCGAAAAGAGGATGGATCGGTGTTCATTTCGCTTACATAAACACCCTTCCGAGTTTTCCATTGTTTGCGATGGCGTTTCGATTTCGTCTTCACTTCATCGTAATGTGCCTTTCTGCCTTCCCTGTGATTCAGCTCTCAACGGAAACCAGAGCTAAAAGGCGAAGATGCCGCAACTACTTTACAGAGTATTTCTTACAGCATCTGTAAGACAGTTGTTTTTCCCCTGAACAACTTATTAGGTCGGACTTAGCAAGATCGACCATGCCGGCCTACACTCAACTTTTTGTTCTGAGGCAAGTCGGTTTCCTGTGACACCCCCATGAAGCAGATTGAATGTCTCCGCCAGGCTGAGGACCATGAGAATAGCTCTCGCGCCATCGACAGAACAATATAGGATCTGGTGTTGTAGTTGGTTATCACGTAAGTCTAACAAAGGTACCAAAGGTCTCCATTTAAGGTCCGGGCTAGATCAAATCAATTCTCTTTTTAAACGACTCCCTACTGTTGATGGAAATTTTGTTGAGATTTTGCGAGTGGCAATCTTTGATATTGCCCATATAGACGGAGAGAGTCTATCCGTATTATTTGAACAAACAGTATATTTGTAGGCATAACACACACAGGAGTCCCTGTAACAAACCCATGCCGCCTTTCCGTTGTGATGTGCTCCGTTACTTATAGAAAACCATGGCAGCACAACACTTCAAGATGCCCAGGCGTCATCTCAAACGCAGTCGTGGCGAGAGAAATGACGTCCACACACATCTTCATCACACACTCCAATGCAACACCTCCGGCACCAGTCGTCTCTTTTCGTTGTTGTTCGATCTCCACACCAGAAACACCAAACGGGCTTAGATCCTCTTTTCAACATCATATTCGAGAGCTCCTCACGAGCCGGCCGGCTCGTTCTGCCAATAATATCGTCGAGCACCTCGCTTCTCGTCATATCCCTCTCAAGCCTGGGTAGCCACTTCACCCAAGGAATCCACGAACCGGCCGTGTTCGCACCCATAATAAGCATCTCGCCAGCGACATCCTTCCTTACAAATATCAGACTCTCTAAGCCACCCAATACGCCCTGAGCCGTCACCTCATGACCTCGCTCCAACGCCTGCTCAAGAATAAAGTTCCTAACGGCTTGTCCAATGATTCTACTCAGCATCATAAAGTTGCCTTGGATAGCGATATCGATCGTGGTCATGGCTTGAATGAGGTCTGCAGTCGGCAGTGGTTTATGAAAATTGCTCTGCCACTTGCGAATGGCCCGGCCGCGTGAACTACCCGAGAGCCCAAATCTCTTGACAAATTGGCCGTCAAAGCTAATGGCAACGCCCTGAGCGCCAGTAGCCTTGCCAAAGAATACAAGGTCAGGGGAGGCAACATCGAAGTACTCCTCCCGCTGGAAGGAAAATGGGGCGCCGCAACGTATAGCAGTGAGACTCTCGTCCACTGCTAGCAGAAACTGCTCCTCGGCGCACATGACGCTCAGTCGCTTGAGCACACTGCGATCCAAGACTCTTCCGTTGTACTGAGTTTCTACAATTTCAACAATGATGCCGATACAGCCTTTTTCTTTGGCAATGTAAAGCTGATCTCTCAGTTCTTCATCAGAGACTCCATCAATGTGGAGAAGAAAAGGATCGCGTCCGTAAAAATTCGGGGAACCTGAAAATTTGAGTGATGACTTCTGGTTAACAAAAATGTCAGTGGTGTAGGGGTTGATGGAACTGAATTGGCTCTTACTCCTGACGCGCTCTTCGAGGAAACCGTTGTCGCAGCGTACGTGTCCGACAAAAGTGCCCAACATGGCTTCTTTGCATGCACATCTTCCCAACCCATCCTCTTCAACGTGTCATCTTCATCTGTGAATGGGCTCTCAGAAGATTCTGAATACTCAGACAGTGAAAGCTCTGCAAGTGTGAGGATTATTTGGACTGTAGTTTCGGGATTCATCGTGCTATGATTTGAGGTTCCGTAATGAATTGGGACGTATCCACCAAAGTAATTTCTGCAATTGTTCACAATTGAACTGTTAGAAGAACTCCAACTCTTGACTAGACCACAACCTACGCAAATGTTTCTTCGTATAAGTGCAAAATCTGTCCATAACGACGCTCGAGGGCCATGCGGTTGTTGATGAATTCTCGCCAGAGTGGATTCGCCATTGTGAGGCTCCGCATTTGATCAAAAGAAAGAATGCTTCCTTCGCCATTGTTGAAGTTATGATCCAGTTTCCGGAGTGGTAGTCCTGCTGGGAAGGCCATATTGTACTGTCAAACGGGAAGAGTCTATGTGAGAATGACTGAGTATATAATCTAAGATTGCGCGAATAAGTACTAAGATGTATGCACCAGAGTGAAGAATGTACAGGCCGAAGTGCGTGTCTTTGAATGGGGCTGGGGCCCGCCTGTTCCTGATATTCGTAATTTGTGTTCGCTTGAGGCTTTTGTAGTCTGGATCGATGTAGGTTGGAACACAATGGTGTGATTGGCTTGGCATGGTTTGAAAGGTGAATGCCTGGCCGACACGAGTTCGTCTCCCAAGTGAGTGACATAAACGATGGCCTTAAATCTGGACTTGGGCCGGCTACTAGTGCTTGATCATGAGCCTTCGCTTACGCCCGAGAACTATCAGTTCCCTTCTGGTGAAAATCCCTTCAGGATGACCGAGGCAAGCTTTCTGTGCTTCGAAAGCTCTGGGCCAGCGGCTTTCCCTCTTTAATCAACCAATGAAATGTGCAAGAGAGACTATGGCAGAAGCGGCGTGGCCTACGTGATGGGAGCCCTCAGCATCGCTTCAAAGTCGAGTGGTCACAAATATCCCTTCCTGGAAATGAGGGGACGTCCGATTGGTGCTTGACAACTTCAAAAGTTGGTGCCTGAAGCAAGGACCATGTAAAAGCAGTAGCAGTAGTCGACAGTAGTCGAGATCCACGGTGGCACACGATCATGTGGTCTGGCCAACTAGCTCGAGGTTGAACATCGGGAACAACATTAAATGCCAACGGCAGATAAACGATTGGTGCGTCTTTGGTTCTGATCATACTGAATTCGTGCTGAGGTACCGGGCTTGGAATTATTTCGCCACTGCACTGCTTTGCAAGCACAGAACGCCAGTGCAGTTGAGATTGTTTAAGGGATGCTTGTGTTGAACGGGTGAGACCGTCACATATTCAGAATGCAGTGCATCCGACTCGTGAGAGTGAGATGGCTTAGAAGTCATGTGCCACAACACCCTGGCTCTACGGACATGACCGACCAAATCACAATCGACGCGGTGAACATCCAATGGGGCCGGCGTAAGGCAACGTCAAAACTCAATCGGCTTGTTAAGAAATCACTCAAGACGAGAGTTTACAGAGGGATTTGAGAATGAGCTGCTCAAAAACGCAGTACAGTAAGCCTACCTTAGTTGACTGCAGCATCGGGGCGAAGCATTCGGCTTACCCCTGTGCTTCAAGACACCCTCACGTCGCACCCTGGCACGTCGGCCCTATCTGATCGGCATGCTGCAGGGCCGTCCTCCAATCTGCGCCGCGGAATCTGACATCAATCTCCTCGATCGCCGTTCGAATCCGCCAGTTCCTTCTGGAACAGGACCCTGAATTGTGGTTCGACACCTGCCGAGCTGTCTAAGCCCGTGAGTGGCCGCGCCCATGTTGCTGTGCAACATTGAGCTCCTCAAAGCTGTCGAGATCGACAACGCTTGTCGTCTATCAACGAGTGATAGTGGCTTAATCCACTTCAATGCTCAAATTCGCCACAGAAATGAGCCTTGTCGGATTTCAACGACGGTTGATTGGATTGAGACCGAAATGCGCCACATCTTGGGCATAATTGAGTGATTCGGACGATGGCTGGTGCTGTGGCTTCAAACTTGCTGTCTAGGTACATGTAGGTAGGCGACAGCTATCTAGCAGCGGGCCTTCCGACCCATGTATTCCTTTACTTGTATAGTTCCATCAATCATCTACTTCCATCTACTTATGGAATCCTGATTCTGTAATGTTCTAGCAAGTTGTCGAGTCGAAGATACTAAGGCATCATTGGCATATGAACGATCACCAGCGTCAACTAGGCGCTGTCCATAGTGGTACGTTCCTGTCTGGTTTCGTTGATGAACGTAACTTAGAGTCTATTAGAAGCCCATAAGTCGATGTAACGAGGAGATATTAAATGTCATTTCTCCGAGGGTGATGTCTGATATGTTGATTGTTCTCAACGTTTAACAATGTTAAAACCCTATAATACGCCTATTTTTGCTATGATAGTGCCCACGCTCAGCAACCCAAACAATCTGCGATAGACTACCTAATTTTACCGAATCCCAATTTCAAGGCTTGAAACTACGCTCACTATTTGTTTCGTGGCCATCGTCATCTTGACCGGGATTGCACTCATAGTACCGGAGGTTGCGCAACAGAAGGTAGAATCCACAAGCAATCAAAGAACCAACTACAGGGCCAAGCCAGTAGATCCAGTGGTAGTGGGGGAAAATGCCGTCAACTGCGGCGGGTCCAAAAGATCGAGCTGGGTTGAGAGAACCACCAGTGAAGTACACGCCTACGGTAGCCAATGTTAACATAATGCTTAGCGTGAAGAAATGATGGCTTCATGTTGTGCTTACCAGTGAGTTCGGCGAGGAAGAATGACAGGCCAATGCCCACAGGAGCGAGAAATGTAGAGCGGTGCTTCTCAACGGCCAGCATCAGGATAACAAACACTAGTTGTGCGGTCAAAATGACCTCGATGAAGAAGCCTTGGGCCGTTTTTGTGCCTCCACCCAAGGCTGTGGTCACGGATAACGGACCAGGGAACATTGCAGAAGCAACCCCGGCTGCACAAAGTCCAGCAATGATTTGTGTGGGCATAATAAGAAGGGCTCGGAGTGGTGGCAGGCCACCGCAAATCGTGAGGGCGAGAGTCACCTGTAGAAGTCTTGTGTGAGTTGAATCGACATGAGAAGCTGGGGCAGGTCAATACTTACCACAGGATTGAACATCCCACCCGTGACCCGGTAGAAAGCCCAAACATTTGCTGTAAGGGAAACGCCGAATGAAAGTGCGATGAAGATGATGGACGGAAGGTTGGGATCCGAGCCTGGGGCTCCGGGAGGTGTATTGGCAACTTGTGTTCCGGCAAATGAAAAGAAGAGAAACATAAATGTGCCGACGAATTCTCCAAGAACAGCAACGATATTATTCCTTGTCGTGTTCGCAATGTTGAGCATAGGTAGCGAGCCAGCAATGTTCGCGCTATCGCCTGAAAGCTGGCGACCGACGTGTGTGTTAACCATTGTGAAAGAAAGAAAGATGTTAATCAAGAATAATTTTCCCCAATGCTGAGGCTTTTGGTCTAAGGCCCCGAACTCGAAAGTGAAGAATTCGCTCCTCTAAGACATGCCAGTCTTTATAACGAGAGATGAACGTCGATCCCTTCTCGGGTCTCCCTAATATTTGTCGACTCTCGGAGACTTACCTCCTGCAAGAGGGTGTGCAGCTGATAAATCGTTCTTGAGAGTGTGCCCCGTTCGCTACGCACATATTATCCAAATCCGCATTCGTCGCAACCCCATGCGACGAGAAAGTCGAACCTAAAGCGGCTATCCATGCCTCGAAGAACTGGTCGTCGCCGGTGACGCCACACGACCCATGGCGCTGGGTGAATACGCCAAGCTACAAGGCCTGGACTCCTCTCCAGAACGAGGTCGATGGACCTAACGGCACTTAGCGTACACACACCCGCACATGGCTGGTAGACTTCCCCAGCCTTGGAGAGCATCCAGGACGAACTTGTCTCGGTTGCGGCACCACTCGCGGTCATTGATGGGCATTAGGCTGCATACTATAAGAAAAGGACGTCACCCTCGACGTAGCTCGGGTGTAAGGGACGCTCAACCTCGATGAGGTCAGGGAGAGTCTCGACGGCGATCTGATATCGCCCCAGATCATCAGCTAGCTATACCAGCCGCCGTGTGTGCATCCAAGAAAGTCCCGGTTGCATTCTCTCTCTGGAAGCAAAGTCAAACACCACGCCGGATAAAACCACAAGGTTTCTGACAACTTTCATGGCTGGCCTGACACCTCCCAAACAGGAAGACACGTTGAGACATGATGGACGATTTGACACCTGTTATTCACTCTTGTCATTGGACGGAATGCGCAGGCGTGTAGTTCGTGGATGTGAAACCCTTTCGTGGCAGGCCGCAGCCTCGGGCATCGCTCCCGCGCAGTCTGATCTAGAGGGATCCGGCTCTACAGAAGCGAACATGAACTTACCGGACGAACCTCGTCCTCGTGGGCTTAGCGCCGTCATAGGAGCTTAACCTGTTCTCGTCGACATCATCACGGAAGCTAAGGATGTGGAGTCAGCTGGGATGGGAATGAGAGCATGGCGCCTGAGACACTCTCTCAGCTGGCAATTTTGACTTCCACAAACGACGCTAGCCCGCCGTCAAGGAACACCATTTCGTAGCGTGTGGTGTTGTGGCAATCTGGCGACACTAGACCTCGATTCCCACAAGAGTGACGTGTAAGCGAGTCGAATTCTCCTAATCTGACGGTGCTACATTTACGATTTCTTGCATTGCTTCCCCAGGAGAAGACCATTGAGGAGTAGTTAAACCAGCTTCAGAATCTGCCCAGGCTTTGGAGGAAATGAGCTTCTGTCTAGCGTTTCTTTCACGTTCCTTTCTGACACTTTCTTACAGTACTTATCTCGACATCGAGCTAATAACGCCCAGTCCCCATTTCTTAACTTTTCCGGACGCTATTCTCGCTTCAGCCCCAGCCTCTCGGGTTGTCCGCTTTTGCTGATCTCGAATTGCTCCCCGCATAGACTGGAGACCTGTCACAACATCACTGAGACGCGCCAAACTTCAATTATCAGAGCTGCCTCCTCAAAGTAATCAAGGAAACATCACAAATCACTTTTCTGTTGGAGATTTTCGGATCAGCCAGCCATTAGAGCGCCGCAATCTGAATGAATGTCAGCTGATGGTGCCTTCAAAGATCTTCAAAGACCGAAAACATCACTGCATGATCCCAGATCGCCGATTCCAGCTGGTTCCCGCGAGACGTCAGGAAGCGAAAAGGAGCTGAATCTCTCGGCCTGAGAAACATCTTTACCGTTCCAACGCTCCGTGGCTCGTCCTCAACATCGCGTCTGCCATTGTGGACGCGGCAGTACATAAAGTCTACAACCCGAACCTAGAGCACTGACGTTAATGCTAAGCACTCGTGGCGTCACCGGAGGATGGTGGGGTATGACGGACGGAAGTAAGAGGTACAGCTTAGAAGTCAGATGCGGCCGAAGAGTAGTGGCCGCGGGTACCATTGTCGCCGATCTCACTGTTTGCGGCTGCTATAGCGACTGACGCGTGGACGCCCGACAAAGAGATATGTCCCTGTGATTACGATAATGAACAATTGTGTAGTCAACCGGCATTCAAAGGCTTATGAGATCTGGCGATGCTAAAGGCCTGATAAAGCCTGTAAAAGTGGCCAGGTCACTTTTCTGAGATACCAAGTGATTTTCAATGATTCTTGAAATGAGTTTGAAATGAAGCAATATTTGCCTGTGTCAATGACGTTGTGATTAACACGTTGACGCAAAGATCTCATGTCTCAGGTACGTAGTAAAGTCCTTTACTTTGTTTTAATCACTCATCACATCTTTCCAGCTCGAGTCTGAGTCTCATCCAAAATCCAAGGCTTCATTCTCTTCAAAGCAGAAGAGTTGAACATCTTGAATCAAAAGATGATGTGTACTAGGTAGTGATAAGAGAGTCAGCTTCTGGATGCTGATGACATAATTCGTCCACTGCTAGAATAAGATGCATCAATGACCATCGTGTAAAAGTTGGATTGGTCTGCGCCATTCCAAGTCCGCATTGGTTATCTCTTTACCAGATATGGCAAGTGTTCTTTGAGCTGGAACGGTACGCATCAGGAAGATCCTCCCTTCAATGCCCAAATTCAACTGTACAAATACAAGAGGACAGTGGAGATTGTGGAGCTTGTTCATAGCACATGGTGCTGATCGCAACGTTCCCGTTTCCACGCTCCGAAGTGCCGGTGTGACACTTGCGGAGGTCAAAAAGATATCGAAGAGTAAAGTGGAACAACATGGAAATGCGAATACTCTTTCGAGTGTAGCAGCATCTGCAAGTAGCGGCGCCGATGAGGGAAGGTTGCATTTGGTAGTGAGGAACGATGCGAGGCACGCTGATCAGATTGCAAGCAGAGGAGGTTAAGGAGGTCGCAGGTTCAACGGCCTACACCAGGCTCAAGTTTCCTTGTCTCGAGAACGTCTATAATAGAGGGGTAGGATCTCAGCGTTTCATTAGCACATCATTTACAAATACCCTCGCTGTTGATATTTTGAGACACACCGGCCCCCAACTCCTGAAGTAAGATGTGACAAACCTTGTACTGCTACCAGACACCAGTGAGGTGGAGAACCTTTTCCCTTGTAATCTGTACTAAGAAGAATGATCATGGCTCATTGAAGGATACGTGGGTAAGTAATTAGGTTAAACCCCACATGCGCCTCGAAATGCGGCCCAATGTGAGGCCGCTAGACTTATCTACCCGTGTACCAAGTGATCAAGGATAAACATTCCCTCGACTGTGACCCGTGACAACAAGAAGATTTCAAGGGGCGGCTCAAGCGATCAGGTTTGATAGACTATAGGGTCCAGCCATCAAGGTCCTCGAGTCCTTAGCCAAGGTGACCCGAGACGTTGGGTGCTAGCAAATGCAAGTCATTGCGACAATCTTCGTGTGTCGGTGTCAAAAGCTTAACTAGACTTAACCTTTGGTTCTTTCCGAGAAAATTGATACGAGTTGCGCAACCTTGTTGGCCGAAAGTAGGAAGGCTATTCGTGCCAGTTCCTAGTTCCCAAGTAACGTGACTACATGTGCTTCCCGAGTACTTGAGGTACTATAGCTCACGCTGATTACACGGTACTTTGCTCATAGTCTTCTACGTAAATTGACGAATCTACTTCCTGTTCTAGTCTCTCATAATCATCAAGTACCGAGGAAGAGAATATAGAGCTGAGGATCATCTAAAGACCCAACTTCATGGCCTACGACCGTTTCGAGCATGAAGCACACTCGGCCGACTGTTGACAAACGAAGGTTGGCGGGCCGGCATCCCACCTACACTACTGTGAACACAAATTAGCCTGTTGTGGGGCCGAGCGCTGTCTCCAAACCAAGAACAACCTTACAGGGAACATGGGAGGTAAGATGGAAGAGCACGCCCAGTCAAGGATGTTATCGCATCAATCAGCAACTCCCCGCTTCGCCAAGACAACTGAATACATTCTACGTTGCCAAGTCTCTGAACCGGCAATCCACCATAAGCACATGCCTTTCCCGTCATCTTGGCCCAGTGCCTCATTGCCGGGGTCGCTTTTAGTCGGAGAAGAAAGTGAGAATTTCTGTTTTGTGGCGCATACGGTAGGTGGAGGGCTCTGATAACTTTGACTGTCTAATACGTCGAGCCGTTCATTGGCGCCCATATGATGAAGTCAGGCGGCTGGACCAACGTGTTCGTCAGTTCTCGCCGATGGTTCAGTGCCCTACCACGTTGAGAGGGGTTTTGAGCGACGACTCGGTTCACAGTGGCGCGATGTTCTTGACCCTGCTAGCCAAGTTCCCTTGGCAGTGCTACGCTATAGCTGCAGTATGCAGGCACATACGCAAGGAGCTCACAAACGACTATTGGCGGTCGATTGCTGTTGTGGTCCGCGCAAGACTTACCTTCCTTTGGGCATCCTTTGCCCGCTGGTGACCAGACGACGAGTAAAGGCAGAGCAAACCAGCCTTGCGCATATAACGAAAACAGAAGCATGTTAGCAATTCAAGAATAACTTCGGTCGGCTGTTCTCGTGCCTTCTTGAGACACTGTGACAAGAAGCGTAAGGGGGCCAGAGAAAGTGTTCACACCAACAGAGAATAGTAATGTAGGTATTGAATCATCGGCCTAAGGTCCGATTAGACTCGTTTCTCTCAGCCACTCTCTCCAAAAAGCCCCTCTCGTAAGGCTTGGCACCTGCCCGATGAAGCAACCATGATCCACAGAGTCTAGAGGGGAAACATCCGCCGGTAGCCCAGAGCTTGTCGCATTTCCACTTCTTCCATGCTTCTCCCATGCTCCACGCCTGCTCCTCATTGCCCCCCCCATTTCATCGGACCTGCTCTCCGCGTCCTAGTATCGGCATCGATCCAAGCATATCCTTTAACCTTAGTCCAACATTCGCAATTCTCTCTGGCAAAAGTACTTTGCCAAGAACACCCAAAATCGTTCACCTGCCAGAGGTAGCATCTCCCGCGACGCATCGATGCCTCAGCAAAGTGGCCGGACAGGGAGGCCTACCAGACCCTTGGAAAAAGTTGATCCAGGCCAAGTTCTGATCCGCCACGCTTTGTTGTATTCCTACGATGTTCCCAAGCTATCCCGCCCCCCTGCCTCCCGGCGGCGAGCCAACCACAAACACGGCAAACGTGCCCTCGTCAGTATCTTTGCTGCCGTGCATCGACCAACACGAGCCAAGCTCGCAAACTCCTCCACTGCTCATGAGGCGGTGTCACCGTATGTCGTCTTATCGCGCAATTTTATTTACGCCGTAGCCATGCTCTTGGCGTGCCGAGAGAGCATACAAGCTTGAAGCGTATAAATGTATTGTACGCGCCGCTGGCAGAGTCAACCGACTTCCTCCTGCTGATCAGTCCGATCATTGGGATCCTCAAACGTCTGCCAAATTCATTTCGTGCCTCAATTATCGCTTGAGGACAGCTTCCATCCACAATGAAGACCGCCACCGCTCTCACCGCGGCCCTGTTCGCGCTGCGATCTTTCGCAACCGATCCCCTCACGGCAGACAAGGCAGAGGCTGACATCAAGACCGAGGAGTGAGTCTTTCATCACCCAATTGAATTCCAGGGATGCAGCTAACAAGATGTTTTCCAGGCTCGAGCGCAACCTTTGGAACCTAAACAAGATCGCCCGCGATAACGGTGGTAATCGTGCCTTCGGTCTGCCTGGTTACAAGGCATCCTCCGACTACATCCTCGAGCGTGTCCAAGGTCGCTTCCACAAGCAGCTCGACACCAAGGTCCAGTACTTCAACCACACGTTTTCTCAGACCCGTGAGATCAGCGTGACCGGACCGGACGGCGAGGATGTCTACGTTGTCGCACTTCAATACAACCACCCGACGACGCTGCCTGGCGGTGACACGGCCCCTCTCATCGATACCCCCGTCGATGACGCTCGAGGTAAGAAGACTCAATCAACGCCAGTGTGACATTGATAGCTTACTCAACTATTCACAGGCTCTGGTTGTTTCGCTGACCAGTGGGAGGGCATTGATGCCACCGGCAAGCTTGCTCTCGTGAAGCGCGGTATCTGCGCCATTGCCGACAAGCTCAAGCTCGCCAAGGCTGCCGGCGCCGTTGGCGTTATTCTGTACAACCAGACCCCGGGCAAGGACATTGGCTCTGCTACCCTCAGCGCCGAGAACTTGGGCCTGCTGGTGCCCGTTGGTCTCGTTCCCCTTGAGGATGCCACCGCCTGGAAGGCGCGTCTGGCTGCTGGTGAGACCCTCGAGGTCAACCTTTTGGTCGACGCGATCTGGGATGAGCGTGAGACCTGGAACATCATCTCCGAGACCAAGGAGGGCGATCCGAACAACGTGATTGTCCTTGGTGCTCACTTGGACTCCGTCCAGGCCGGACCCGGTGTCAACGACGATGGCAGCGGTACCACTGCGCTTCTCGAGATTGCCGGGTCCTTCAAGAAGTACAGCGGCTTCAAGAACAAGGTCCGCTTCATCTGGTGGGGCGCCGAGGAGTCCGGTCTCATCGGATCTCTCTACTACACCGCCCAGCTTTCCGAAGCCGAGGCCGATGCCATCCGCTTCTACTGGAACTACGACATGATCGGCTCCATCAACCCGGTCTACAACGTCTACCTCGGCGAAAACGAGGGCGACAAGCTCGGCGCCCAGCCCCTTCACGACTACATCGCGGCCCAGGGCAAGCCGGCTGCGTTTGGCGGCTTCGGCTCCAGCTCCGACTACGTCGGCTTCCTCCAGCTCGGCATCCCCTCGTCCGGTATCTTCACCGGTGCCGGCGCCCCCACCGACCCATGCTACCACTTGGCCTGCGACACTCTCGACAACATCAACTGGGACGCACTCACCATCAACGCCAAGGCCACTGCCCGTGTTGCCGCTGACTTTGCCAACGAGCTCCCCGCCGACCTGCCTCGTCGGGCCACCACCACTCCCGCTCGCCGCAGCCGCGATGCCATCCGTCGCGAGTTCCAAAAGTGGGCTTTGGCTTCTGAGCAGGCTGTGCACGCCAAGAGCTGCTCCCACGGCGAGCTCAACATTTACTGAGCGGGACGTGTAGCAAGTAGTCTAGCTTCGTAATAGTAATGTCATCATGATCACAATGAAACGAGGTATAATCGCAATCATCTGAACAGACACCATGCTCCATGAACATTAATTACTGTCACTGCAAATACGGATCAGGAGGTCTGGTAAATAGCCATCTGATTGAAAAGGAACGTATTGCACTACAGAGGCAACGATGTTACTTTCAGTGTACTTGGTGAGATGGACAAGGCTAAGCCTCATTGCGTGTGAGGCACGTCGATGGTGACTACATATAGGTACTGAGATCAAGTCATTTGCTCTTTACACATTCAGTTCAGATAGCCTAGACCGTTATATGTCCACCGAAGTTGGAACATCCCGATTTCATTTGGAAATAATCACTACGTTGATGATGCTCAAGCAGCATGGCCCTCCATCATGAAAACCATGTCATCTCGTCCATAAAAGCCAGTATTTGACATCTTACATCCTCGGACGGCATCCTCAAAACAATCTCAGCATTTCTTTCAACTCTTGACCTCTGCCACCCCGCTTTGACACACTCTGTTCTCTACTTGCATATTCCCTCCTCACCCTCTACCTTTCACCGGACTTATCTAGCTTTACGATCAATGGTGACACGATCCGGCCGTGGCCTCATGCGATGATTTCTATCATGACTACCAAACAGACACAGCTGAGCTTTTTGAGCAGCACATCGCAGAGAATATCCAAGGAACTCGAGACCTCGGTGAGGCTCAGGCTACTGAAAAAAACCTTTCCCCGTTATATGCGGATTTGGGTATTAATTCTGATCTAATTTTCGAAATGATTGGGTTCCAGACTGACATTAGTCAAGAAATGCATCTCATCTGCCAGAAGAAGAGCAGCCAAGAAAGTCTTATTTCTCTGAAGGCCTTCTTTTTGTTCAGTCATTCCACCTAAAGGCCCAATCTTACATGTCATTTGCGCCCCCCATCAAATAATAGTCACTTCCTCTCGAGTTGACCCAAGGATTGTTGGTGGAGCAGCTTGAGTCGTAGTAGTGTTATTTGTAACTTGACTACCGAGACCGACCATGCGTAACTGTCGTCGGAAGCTTGACCTCATCGCTCCTTCTTGATTTTCCCGCATGTTAGGCGCAACGCTGTGTCTCCTACGGCTGAGAGAGAGCTTCCGAAGCACGGGGATTGACGCGGCCATGATGGTTGCTGCTATCTCAGCACTTTCCCATATAAAAAGACCTCCTAATTTGTCTGCAGAGGAGTAAGATTTCGCCGAAGTAGATTGCAAACTCAGCGCACGAAAAGCGTAACCTACTATTATCCAGCGCATTGAAGCTGAAGAGGTGGAATATCTTGACAATCCCTGTTGCTCCAGCACTTCGGTCATAATTAGCAATTGAACATAGCCCTCAATAATGGCAGAGAAGAGACTGACCCAAATCCCATGCTCATGGCCACGCATATACCAACTCTGTCCTTTGTACTGAGGTGCAGTGGCCATATGATCTTCCATGGCAATAACGATAGAAGAAAGTCCAAAAAGACTGAATAAGCTGACACATTACGCTGTGAGTGTGATTCATTGACCCAAAAACTGCAGCATACTCATGCATACCGGAAGCAAAGACAGCAAAGTCGAGTGCCTGTCTACCTGTCATGCATGGTAAATGAGAACGAGGACCACACGGATTTTCGAATAAGGGTACCCATGTCGCGACAGTAACGTTCATGGTCACCATGATGAACCACAATAGCCATCGTAGTTTTCCGGTGACGAGCCGCAAAAGAGTGAAGATGAAAGATGTCTTGGCGAGCGACCATGCCACATTTGCCATGACCCCAGCTGCATGGCTCATGTCCGCGTTTCTCTTAACCAGCAGGACGACAGGAACTAGAGACGTGGCATTAAGTACTGCGACTCGGAGGAACAGCTGGGTAGCGAACAGTATCTTCGCTTTAAGATGAGTAGAAGACGCATATCAGGAGCTTGGGATGCTTGCCCACGCAATAATGATGCAATAGTCATCTAATAACAGCCGATAGGTCATAGAATGTACAATCCGAGTGAATAATCGAAGGCCAAAAATTCCAGTTGCGAGAACGAAAAGTATGGACAGAGATGCAATTTGCCCTACGACGATGTTGTCTAATGGCGGAGCCATGAATGCTTGCGGCAGAAAACAATAAGCGTTACGGAAAGTGATGAGAAGATGACAAGAGAATGGTATCCATATGCCGGCAGATCGGGGAGAAGGGCGGAGCTCCGTCAAACTACAGACAGAGAGGACGTCTTGAGAGCATACGCCCCATCGAGATCTCCTATAAAGCTATCTAACAAGCATTGAAAAGATAAAGTACCGACCAAAGATCATTAACACACTTTTGTCGTTACCACCTCTTAAGTATGGCGAGATTATGGCGGCCAACCCATCCCTCAATACTTGTTTACTTCGTGGCTGGTTAGTATGCCCCTATGCATGTTACCAACTGTCAGGCGGGCGACTAGCGAAGGTATGTGTAAGGTGCGTGCTTCCCTCACAGGGGCTACTGAGACATTGCATCATCATTCCGTCAACGTGTACATCTACAATTCTAATAACCCGACGTTAGACCGCACAAATTAGTAGGAATGACTAAATTATGCTATAGAGTTCAAAATTTCATCACCATCCTGTGAGAGATCGCGAAAAGGACTTCACTTATAAGATCGTAGCAGTGATATTCGGTAGCCTCCTATGGCTTATTTAGCTTGCCTAGTCACGAGAAAAACAAGTTGTCCATCGAAATTCATGTCCTAATAATGTATATTGCATAAATACATTACACCCAGGGCGCTGAATTTTAGGAGCGGACAGTTAAGCAGGGATGGACTTAATTGTTTCCTCAGTCACCATGTAAAGTCTAGAGTAATACTCTTCGGTTCTAATACCTTGAGAATAAGCGAAGTAGTTTAGTAGTAATAGAGCACTGATCGAAGTTGAGTACTTGTTATAGTGTTCATGGATGACACCTCGGAGACACGTGGTCTCTGAGCGCAGAAACTGTACAATCGCGATCTTCGGGCGCGAGGCTTTATACGTAAGCCCCATTTCTCGGCGGTATTTTTACGTCTAGGCGATAGTAATTGCTTTTTATATATTATAATCTTTATTAGGATCAGTGCATATATTATGAGAGACAGACGCGTCTTAGGCCGGCTAGATCTTACAACTTTCAAGAAACCATCAAGTACACGGCCTATAAGATCTAGTTCAAAAGAGTGGGACAGCAAACGTGCACAGCTCAGATCTTCTCATTGACGAGAGACTGTTCGGTGTCATGCCGCTTCAAAATATCTGTTGAACCAAGATACCGCTTGATAAAACGCTTCTTCCTTTCCGAACCTCTCCTTTTCGCTTTTCGGGTCACCGCGAACGAGGTTTTAGGGTTTTTTTTTTTTTTTTTTTTTTTTTTTTTTTTTTTTTTTTTTTTTTTCCCTTTTTGTTTTGGTTTTTTCTTTTTTTTTTTTTTTTTTTTTTTTTTTTTTTTTTTTTTTTTTTTAGATATCTATGGTCCAGTGGGTTATGAGTATCGAGCGATGTCATCGTACTTCGATGCATATATCTGAGCGAAATCAAAAAGAATAACATTAACTTCAGCCAAAGTTCTGCCAAACGTCTCCACCGGAATTGATTTTTATTCGTATGACTACATTTATGGAAGAATCAATATTATTATCTGGGTATACTTTAAATCAATTATAGCCGCCTTGACTCCTAGGCCTCTCTGTTCAAGACTCGTATTGACGACAGGCCACGCACTTGATCAACTATTACTCTAGGAGCCTCGTGAAGCAGCGTGCTTGGATGCTTTTCACTAGCTGCGATTTTGCCGCAGAGTCCTTATTCGCTCCCCCAAAGCAAATTCATCCGCTTGTATCCGTTGCAACTGCTCCAACGTCTGCCTCCTGTCCCTCAAGAGCCGCTCTTCATGTAGTAGGTGCTCCAGCTCAGCCATGTCTACAATCAGGGGCTCCGGCGAGGAATTGATACGATCTTCAATCATAGGCGGTGACATCCTACTTGTTGCAGATGATGGCGGCGACTTTGGGAGCGAAATCGTGGACACGACCTCCAGTGATACCGCGCCCTGCTCAATTGAAGGCGCGACCTTATGCGTTTCATGGATTTTCGGCTCAGGCGATGCACACGGAGTTCCGTCCAGCTCAGCCATTATCTGATTCTGTTGATTTGAGAATGTCTCAGGATTCTTCTTATCGGCTTCCAATGGTGTCGTGTATGAGTCCAACTCATATCTGTTGGATTTGTCCCCGCCGCCAAGCTCTGATATGATATTGTCTTCGTCACCATCACTCAGGCTGGCCTTCTTCCTCTTTCGCCACCAAAAGAGTAGAATTACAGCCAGAATTGCCACGAGGGCAGCTCCAGCTCCAATTCCAGCCTTCACTCCCGTCGATAATTGATCGGAGGAGGAGGCGCTGTTGTCACCATCAATCGCAGACGTAGGTTCGGCGGTAGGGGTAATTTCGGCGATAGGGGCTGTCGATTGCACCATCGGTGTTGCTGCTTGTGCTGTGGTTGAACCAGCCTCTGTCTCTGATGTGGATGTCTCGAGTTCCACGGTAGTATGGGTTTCATCGCCGCCGGAAGTGGCAGATATAGTACGTGTGACAATGATGATTGGTGTTTTTGTCAAGGTCACTATAGAAATCAAGTCCGTCTGGGAGGCATTGAGCCAGCCATTCGCGACGCAGTAGGCCGCAAAGGGGCGCCACACATCTTGAACTTGGCGTCAATACAAGGCTTATAAGTCGGAGGGAGTGAAAGATGGGAAACTTGTCATATTGAAAGACCAAGAGAGGCATACCTTCAAATGTTGTTTCCTCGTAACTGCAGAAGTTCTGTGTGCAGACGGCCCATTGGGTACGCATGGTATCGCGTGTTCCGAGGCGGCAAGCGCAATCGGGGTTTTTCATTACGTGACAGAGATCCGATGGACTTAGAGCCAGACAATCCCGAGCACATTTAGGAATGTCGTCTCTGTCTTGAGCGTATGCAAAGCGAATCATTGCCGCGAGGACAGCTGCCGTGGCCCTCATCGCGACGGAGCAACGAGAGCCTGTTCGGGATGTAGATCGTACACGCGGAAAACAATGGCGAAGTTGACAGCTAAACTGAAGAGTTGTTGTGGGAGGAATGGTGTCTGGGAAACCTAATGAGTCCTGCTCTGGATGGTATGTGCCTCAGTGACAGCCAAGCGTGGCCTGCGGCAGGAAAGCGTTACCAGAAAAGACAAGACAGCCGACGGACCAAGCATAATGCTCAAATCTGCAAGGTTCTTGATGAATCACGAGAAATCTTTGCCGGATGTGATCAGGCCTCCGCTTGGCTCGTTGGTTGGGTCTGATTTGAGGCCTCGCCTGTCTAGACTCCAATCCCAATGGTTCCAACAGCTTGTTGTCCGGCTACTCACATATACTGCGAGACAAGGACCCGTTTTTACTGGGAGAAGACCGAGTCACTACGTTCAACGTTGCCTGGTGCCAAGTTCAGCTTCTAGCTGCGCCCTAGTTGTGCAGAGCCCAGCGTTCTCGTCTGCGTTGGCTATGAAATTTCGCTGGGCCGAGCAGATGAAGTGAAACCCTCCAATCTCAGCTGTATCAAAAGCAACACCTGATCTCAAGTCAGCAGCTTGCCATTCATTTCCAGCCGGCGAAGAGTTTCGGATCTACTTTGCTATTGCAGCAGCATGAATCGGTTAAGGGGTTATCGGAGAGTTTTTGGAAGTAACTAGCTACTTCGCGGACGAATATGAGAAAATTTTGCCCTATGATAACCGGGAGACACGTCATACTACATTACCTACTTAGGGCAGCTTCTTTTCAGAACGCACTCCACTCCTGGTGAAGTTGCATTTAAACTTCACTCGAGCGACAGGACATAATGAGCCAATGATAAGCAGCGCATTTGTTGCTGCTCAAATTCACATGCAACAAATACCTCAACATGTGATTATCTAGACTTTTCTTCTCCAAACCTCAATCGACGTCGCGTCCCTTCTCTCGATCAGCAGATTCCCGGCCGTACTGTAAATGAGGTCACAGCGAGTTCAGTCAAAGGTCCTTATAGGCCGACATCCCACATCTCACGATCAACTTCCTAAGATGTTGCCTACATTACGAGACAGAATCGCTTTGAGGGCCGTCACTTGGGTATTTTCGGGTTGTCAGTGACAGCGCACCTACCCATTCAAATCAATCAAATAAATAAGTCAAACAAACAATCAAATATAAGGATTTCAGCAAATTAAATAATTAAATATCGTAAGGCCCTATATTTAACCTATTTAATTAAATAAAAATCGCTCGGAAAAAGGAAAATCTAAGGCTAAATTAATTAAAAATATATATTACTTAAGTAAACCGCTAAGTTTATTATAAATAATATAAACTTTTATAATAGGATTCGAACCCACGACTCTTTATTTACGATTATAAATAAAATATTATATTATTTAATTATATAGAATATTATTAATAATTATTATTAAAAAAAAAACCTAAATAATATATAACGTTAGATTTAATACCTTTTAATATTTAAAATTTAAAAAAACCTTTTTAATTAATTAATACCCTTTTTTTTTAATATTAATAAAACTAATAAAATTACGTATTATTATTTTTAACCCTTTACGATTATTATAATTATTATTAAAATTGATTAAATTATATATTAATCGATTTATTATATCATAATTAATTAATTAATAATAAGTCGTATAATTTTTAATATACCGTAACCGTTTTAAATTACTTTATAATTATAAACCTTAATAAACGTTAATTGTATATTATTAACCGATTTTAATATTTATAATAACCTCCTCATTTTTTTAAAAATAATTTAAAAAAAAAAGACTTTTATAAATAATAATTTAATATTATAAAAAAATATAAAATTAAAAAATTATAAATCCGTTTAAAAAAGGTTTTTATTTAAAAGATCTATAATAAAAATAATTAAAATAAAATCTTTTAATTTTATTATTATTATAATAAAATAAATATTATTATTTATTTTAAAATAATAATTATAAACTTAATAACGGCTTATTTAAAATTAAAATATTAAATAATAAATTTAAATTTTAACGAATTATTTTATTTATTAAAATCCTTAGAATATAATTTTATATTAAAAAAACGGAAATTTATTTTTAATATTATTATAAAAAACTAAATAACGAGAATTAAAGAGTTAATAATTAGATATATTATTAATAATAATAGCCTATTTATAACTTTTTAAAATCTTTACCTCCGGGCTTTTCTTTATTAATTAAATTATAATATTATTAACGAATTTTTATTATTATATAAAAATATAAAAAAAAAGCTAAATAGGATTTTTATTAAAAAAAAATATAATTAAAATAAAAATCTGGAGGTTAATAACGAAAATCTATTTATTATTTGATTTATAAACTTTATTAATATAGAATATTATTATTACCGTTTTTATTTATTTTTTAAACTATATTAAGTAATAAATATAATATTTTATTATTTTACGATATTAATATAATATTTACGATAAAGTTAATATTATTTAAATTATAAAATTTATAATAAACGATTAAGAATTAAGCGATTAAATTAAAATAATTATTTATAATAATATTTTAAATAACGATATTTACTTAGGTTATTTATATCTTATATTATTTTATATTTATATTTAAAAAAACGTTTTTAATTAAAAAATTAAATATTATAATTATATTTTTAACTTCATCGATAAGGCCTTTTTATTTAATAATAATAAAAAGATATTCGAATAAAAATTAAATATATTAATTAATAGTAAGTAATTTTAAAAAAATCTTAATTTTTAACGTACTAAAGGCCCTATTAATAAGTTTTAAAACGTTATTAAATTTATTTATTTATCGTTTTAATAATATAAAGTTTTCCTTAAGGTTAATAATAAAATTAATAAAACGATATATTTACTTTTTTTAAAAAGTCGTTATAAAAGTTTATATTAACGTTTAATAACGATATAAAATAAAATTCAATATACTTTATAATATAACGCTTTTTATAAAAAAAAAATCTATACTTTTTTAATAACTAATTAAGTTTATAAAGATTTAAAATAACGGATCCTTATTAACGACGTTTTTAATAATAATAATTAATAGCTATTAACCGAGTTAAAAGCAGTATTTAAATTATTTTATTTTTAAATAATAAAATATTAAGATTAAAATAAAAAGAACAGCTATAACCGTTTATAAAAAATAATAATAAATTTTAAATACTTTATTAATTATTTTAAAAAATAAAAAAAATTATATAATAAACTTTTTAAAAAAAAATATATTTTACGGTTTTTTAAATCGTAACGTCGTAATCGTAATTAATATAAATAATATTATTTTATCGATAATTAATTCGTTATTAATTTATATCTTAACCTTTTTCTTAACTTTTAATATTAAATAATATCTTTTATTTTATTTAATTTAAATATATATTTAAAAAACGGGCAGAGCTATTTCTTAATAATAATTGTAATTTATAAAAATATTTCCGATTATTAATTATTAATATTTAATAAGTTTTTAATAAATATTATACCAAATTAAATAACTTTCCGTTTTACGCCGTAGTAATTATTTTTTATTTTAAATAAAAATTAAAATAGTTAAAAAAAAAATATATTTAAATAAAGCTATTAGCTATTCGATATAAAAAAAAGGCTTTACGATTATTAATAAAAATAATATATAAACGAAATAATAAATCCTTTTCCTTTTTTTTTATTATAATAATTATAAACTATTTTTATTACCCTTACGATTTTAAAAAATATTATAAAAAATTTATAATATTAGTAATAATTAATAACTTAAATAATAGAGGTAGTAATTAATTATATGTTTAAGTTTAATTAATATTATTTATAGATTATTTTTTAGCCGATCTTTAATTTAATTTAATAATAAATTAATTATTAGTTAACTTATTTAATTTTAAATAAGCTTACGTTTAATATTTTTATAATCTTTATAATAATAATAAATTATAAAAAGATATTATTATACGCTTTTATACGGTAAAAATAATAAAATATATTAATACCTTTTTTTAAAATTTTCTTATAGATTTCTTAGCGAAATCTTTTAAATATATTATAAAAATTTTAAAAGAAACTTTTAAAAAATCTTAAGGATTTCTTTATAATTTTTTTTAAAAAAAATAAAAGAAATCTTAAATTTTTTTTAAAAAAAATTATAAAGAAATCCTTAAGATTTCTTTACGATTTTTTTTAAAAAAATCTTAAGGAAATTTTAAAGAAATTTTAAACTTTTTTAAGCGTTTTTTTTTAAAAAAAATTTCTAAGAAATCTTAAGAACTTCGCGGCCTTTTTTTTTTTAAATAATTATATATAAAAAATAAGAAATTTAATTATAAATTATAATAATTACCGTTATATAAAAATTAATTTTAATTGCGAAATTTTTATAAGTACGATAATTTATATTATTATAAAAACTATATATTAAAGAGCTTTATTATAAAATCAAGTTTAATATATAAAGTAAATAGATATATTAAAAAATTAATATAATAATATAAAAATAAGTACGTAGTTTTATAAATAACGTAAGGAAAAGTAAATATACATATATTAATTTTTTTTTTTAAAAGTATCGCTTTTAAGTACGAAAATAACTCTTATTCTATTTTATTTTAATATTTATTATATATAAAGTTTTAAATAGCGTTAGAAAACTTAATTTAAATCTTTATTTATAGTTTTTTTTATTACGGTATTTTTTAAAGCTTTAGTTATTTTATTAATAGTATAAGAAAGTAAAGTAGTAACGTTATTAAAAAATACGTTATTTATAATTTAAGTATTTAGCTCGATTATAGTCGTATAATAAAGATTAGTTTAATTAAATTTAATATTATAAAAATAGCTTCTGATTATTATAATTATTATGATAATAGTTTTGTATTTATCGGCGTAAGAAATTAGGGCGAGTTTTTAATTATAGTAATATCCTTTTTAGGCGGTTTCGTTT